GGACAGGCGCTGCACACGGAGCCATGTCCCATAGCGGGGCACAGCCCTGGTCCCGCAGCAGGGACACATTCCTGGCCCCATGCCCTCCCCAGGAAAGACAAAGGGGCACAAAGTGAAGCAGAGAACGGAGTTGTTTTGTCTCTGCTCCTGCCACTGGAAGCTCACCTGAGCTGGGTTCAGTCAACAGCTGAGTCTGGGAAGTGTTTCAGTCCTTGCTGGGAACTGACTCCTGGTTCTTTCTTGTCATTCAATAAGGAGCTAATACCTCGCTTCTTTACCCCAGCCATACAGCCCTTCACATCCCCAGGCAGCAAATCTTCCCCTGCTCCATGATCCCCCCATCTTCCACAAATCCCTTCCATGGACACACACAGATACCTCAAATGCAAAGTGGGTTTGTAAACGCAGGATGAGCTCAGTGCTGGCAGCGCCCGGCATCCCAGCCCTTCCTCAGCAGCCAGCAAACACCTTCAGGCTGGGAAATCAGCCAGAGTGGGATTTCTGTTAGGGTCCAAGTGCATTTCCTTCTGGCTAGCAGGGAAGTGCTGCCCTTGGGTTGCTTGGCCACGTGTTTGTTAGTTAGTGTAAAATGATTCTGTCTGCTTAGGCAGCATTGTCCATTGAATTGTAAGGAGATGGCACCCCTTGGCTATGCCAAAGGTTATAAAGTATATAAGAAAAGCCAGCCAGCAGTCCCATAAGCTGGTCAATGGCATCCTGTGTCCTCCCATTGGAAAGCAGAGTTACACTGCGATTACTATTTCATTTGGGAAATAAACCTGCTCTTACTCTATGCAGTCCATCAAAGCAGCCAGGCCCAAGGTAATCCCTGCGGATGAGCAGGCTCCAGGACTTTGGAATGAAACAAAGAGTCCCCACTCCAACTGATAGTCCAGGCACCAGGCTGTGCCCCTCCATCTTTGCTTGTGCATGGTTCGGGGGGAGCTGGGCTTGGCTTACGGTGCAGATGGGGTTGTTGGTTGGGGATGAGCTACCCTGAAGGTGAGATGTTCTCCTGCTGGTCTCATCCTTCTGCACCCAGGAGGGGAAGCAGAGCTTTGGCGGTGCTGAACAAAAATCACAGAGGAAAGAAAGAGGAGAAACAGAATCTATTGATTTGTCCAGGCCGTTTCCCCCTGGAATGACGAAACAAACGTTTTCCAGCTCCTTCTCCAGACTCCCTTTTAGTTCTGCTGCCTATTGGGGCATTCTATGAGAAGGTGTTTCTGCCAGGAGCTGCAAACGCACCCATCCTAACACCGAGCTTCCCTGCTGCTGCACGTCCAAAGCAGTCCTCTCAGTGAAGATTACAGCCTTCAAAAGTCCATTTAATTTTGCTCTGAAGGCACTTTAACCAACGTTTACCTTTGAAGAAGCTCATAGAAAACCACCATGAAAGCTCAGCAGCTCACCATCGCTCTCTTGCTATTCACCATCAAACCCAAACGCAACCTCGCAAGCAGAGAGGCAAAAGGGACCTTTCAGCACAGGCTTTGCCGGGTTTCCTGGTGTTTGGTGTATTGTGCCCTGCATTTAACGGGCTCTTTTCCAGCTTCCCTGCTGAGACGATGCCTGGACCCAAAGGGGAGGTGAGCAGGGAGAGCCAGAGCAACAAAACCACTCAGAGCCAACCTCCTTTTCCCCTTTGCAACTGCTACACTCATCACACGGGAAACACCCGCGTTACCTTTGCTCCCCGTGTCGAACAACTCGGTGCGTATTTGCCTTGTCCCATCCACATGTTGACATTCTTCATCCTTCTGTTATTACAGATGCTGCAAAGGCAATAACCCTGAAATGTCACAGCTGTGGAGTCGTACAGAGCGGTTACGATGCTGTGGTTCAATAATCACTCAACATCTAAATACGAGGTGTAAGATGATGGAATCTGCAAGAACAAGAACACCGCAGGGTGCAGGAACGGAGGGGCTCCCATCCCTGCTCAACCTGGGAAGTTTTGCTGGCCTGAGAGGGTTAAGTCATAGAATCATAGAATAGTTCGGGTTGGAAAGGACCTTAAGATCATCCAGTTCCAACCCCCCTGCCATGGGCAGGGACACCTCACACTAAACCATCTCACCCAAGGCTTCATCCAGCCTGGTCTTGGACACTGCCAGGGATGGAGCATTCACAACCTCCCTGGGCAACCCATTCCAGTGCCTCAGCACCCTCACAGGAAAGAATTTCCTCCTTATATCCAATCTAAACTTCCCCTGTTTAAGTCAATTTAAATCTCTTCTAAAGTGCTGCAAAGCTCATGTAGACCTCATCCCTCTGAGGTTTTGAGCTGCTCCCTGCTCCTTGCTTTGCTCCCAGCAGCATTTGGCAAGCTGTTCAGCAGAGGAGGCTTGTAAGGGACAGGCTGAACAAAAGACTTGATAGGAAAGTCATTCACGAGACATCAGCAATGCCCATTGAGGGACCATGGCGGGGGGCAGGTTCACACCATAGCTGGGCATTCCAGGGGATGCTGGATGCTGCACTGGGCTGTTGGTGCCATGTCGAGCACCTGAGCAGCTCTGCTGCTCCTCACCCAGCGTGGTTCTGCTGCCTGCACTGCTCAAGGGCTTTCCCCCATCACTCTCCTGAAGCATCTCCCTCTTCTTCCTCGGAGAAGGTGATGGCCGGGGCAGCCACCTCCTGCTTGGCTCCTGCTCGGCACCATGGGAGCAGTTCATGCTCCAAAGGGATCTTTGGTTTACCGTTAACCCCTCCCCAGTGCTGAGAATAACCTATGTCAGCAGTTAAGTCTTTTCCCCGCTTAAGGGTGTCTTCAGTGACAATCACATTTAGTTACCTCTGTAACAAGTGCTGGTGGCTGGCAGCTCCCCAACCAGCTGCATCCCTGCCGTATCCCATCCAGCTTCACCTTTATGGATGGAAGGGAGCTGGATGGAAGTACCTTTACGGGGTGTTTCCCACCAGAGCTGCTCCTCCTGGTTGGCCCGGGAGGACAGTATTTGCTGAGTCCCAAAGCTCAGGTTGTGTTTTCCAGCCATAAAGGACCGCTGTGAGCTGGAGGCAGCAGCATCACCTCCCCTGGTGTCCGGTGGGGCAGTTACTTTATCATCAATGACTACTCTTTAATGCTTGGGGTGGAAAACGCTGCACATGGCTGGCTGGTGAGAGGTGGCTGTGGTTGCTGTTGGTGTGGGGAGGCACGCTCTGCTCTGGCTGTGCCGGTGCCCAGCCTGCACTCCTGGAGCTTGGCTGTTTATAGTCCTTCTTCCTCCTGCTGTATTTGTATAAACCAGTTTTAGAGCTGTTCTCTAGTGCGCAGAGGACTGGGAGATGCTCGCAGGCTTTGGATCAGAGGAATGACCAAAGTCCTCACGGCTGGGCTCACGTTTGGCTCTTGCCATGCGGATGAACAGCGGCGCTGCTGCCCTGTGCCTGACTGTGCCTCAGCATCCTCATGCCTCAGAAAGCCTGAAAACCTTCCCCTTTGTCAGTTTAAAGCCATTCCCCCTTTTCCTGTCCCTACAGGCCCTTGTCAAAAGTGCCTTTCCATCCGAAGGATGGATACGGGCAAAGCCGTGGTCTCACCCTGTGCCCCCAAAACCGCTTGTTTCTGTGGGTGAACTTCAGTGTATGGGGCCTGCAGAGGAGCAGAAAGAGCTGCCCACAAGCAAACCCAGCCCCATCTCCATCACTCCCACTTCCCCACGCTGATCATCCACGGAAGGTGATGTTTAAACCCTCCCCATCGCACACACGAGTCCGCTTTTAACTTGTGCCTTAAATGAACAGGGAATGGGTCTGTCAAGTGAAGCAAGGCATGAAAGGCAGAGGCAGCAATTGTGAAAGCCATCTGGTTCAGCCAGGGTCGGCGCTGGCCGGAGCGGGACTTCTCCCTTGTTTTGTGGGTTAGTCATCGGCCTGTTTATTTCTTTTAGAGTTCTTTTCCCTGCTCATCTGTTGCAATCACAGCAGACACATCATTTCACAGCCCTACATGGAAATCCAAGACCCAGGAGCTATTTTTAGCACACAAAATGTCTCCCCTAAATGTATTAACTTCGGAAGAGTAAATATTAAATACTCCCATCACATTAAAGGCGTTTATGGCAAAGTGCAAGCACCGGCGTTTTTAATGGGTAGGGGAAATTATGTTACACCACCAGCACTTAATCAAACACAATAAACCCAGGCCTTGCTGCAGTTCTGTGAGGGTAAGTTGAAGGGAAATGAATTCACTTTCACATCCGTCGCCGATGATTTACTGCCACTGGGGCAGATTGGCCCCATTAGTATTTATGGTGGCACTTGCAATCCTTATGCAGAACAGGCAGGGGAGAGCCTAGCATTTATTTTGCCATTAAACTGAAATGATTCTTCACCTGCTCACTCCAGATCAAGGCACTCAGCACTATCTGTGATGAGGGTACTACAGGCAAACCCCAAGCAAGCAACACAGGGAAGCCCTGTGTGCTGTAAGTGCTTCTATATACATACACATATATATATATATATATATATATTTCTAACTTTATTGGGAAAGTATTTCCCAGGTTGGGCTTTAAGAGAAGGACAATGTGGAGCCCTGGTCCTGGACAAACAGCAGTGATCCTCATGGCTGATGGCTCTCACCTGACGATGGTTTCATTGTCATCTGTTATTGTGACTCTTGTGAAATGGGCTCTCTGGGAAAGGAGGTCCAGAGGCAACATCCTCCTATTAGCTGCCCCAAATATTCTTTTCTCTTCCTTTACTTCCACGCATTTGGGTTCTGTTTCCCATATCCATTCCCATGACACGGCCAGACAGACCATCCCAGCCACCTCTAATACCTCAAATATAGGCGCCAGAAGCAGGGATGCTCTGGACCAGCCAGGAGTTCATCACTGGGGTGGTCATCATCACTGCGAGCAATAACACAACCCAGTAATCAAATCCTTAGTTTGCAATAAACCGATCCTTTTCCTTTTCATTTAAGAGCCAAATGCAAGGCTGTGGTAGTTCAAAGATGTATTTCCTTCTCTTCTTCCCCATGCCCCTAGGAAGACCCATCTCAGATTGAGATGCATTCCCACGCACAGAGCTGCATCCCCTGGGATGCTCCGGTCAGCCCGCTGGTCCCCAGGTAAATCTGCTCACTACACCGACACGGAGGTACACAGAAAACACTGCTTTATTGACTGCATTTGCCAACACATTGAGGAATGCAAAGGGATTCTTTCATAAGCAATGGGCCATGGTCCCAATGTGTATTAAAGCATACACTGTATCTAAACAGGATGAAAATAATGGCAGACAGAGCTATTCCAAGGCAACACAAATAGCATGCATAATACAGTCTCACACAGAACGAGTTTGAGAACATTATATTGCTTTAAGGATTAACTAACATGGAAAATGTACAAAAAGGAGAAATAGGTTTTTGCATTAATGAAAAATACATTTTTTCTCTACAAAGGAATTTCTAATACAAGAAAATAAATATTGCAACATAAGCCAAAAATAATTTAAAATTGCTCTTTTCAATATATTTTCAATATTTCTCTTTTGTATTAACAAATGGCACATCACGTTCTTTGAAACAAAGAAAACAGAAGGGTTTCTCCTCCTGCGACATTCATATCGTTTCCTGTAACTGATGTGAAGTCGGTCTGTTTGTATGTGGAATGGTGCAAACTGCGGGGTGAGCTCCTTAAAGAACAACCAAACCTCGTGCCCTGCCCTGCAGCAGCATCGTCCCGCATCCCGCTCTCGCCTCCCAGCTCCGTCCTGCACCCGCCTCGGGATGAGCTCCATGGACAGCAGGCACCCAGCCCCGGGGAAATAGGTGCAAAACCAAGAAAGAATAGTTAAAAGTAATTGAAAAATGGGAATGGAGGGAAATGGGCGTGCAGAATGGGAGCTGTCCTCAGGGAACTCCCACCACCATCGGGGCTGGGGTTGACGTTGGGGCTGTGCTCCATGATGAGGGCATGATGCTCTTTGCATCCTCATCTCAGCGGCTGCTGCTTCTCCAAGGAAACGGGTGCTCTTACAGTGCAAATGTCAATTCCTGTAGTTTATACATCTTAAAAGACAATATTTCTCTACTAAAATAAACCCTTTTATAGTAATTATTTTTTTTCTTTCTATTCATTTCAAAATACATTTACAGTACATCAAAAATATTTTCCTTGTGCATTTTCTCTTGGAAACGCCAGGTTACCCTGTTCCAAGGCGGTGGCGAGGATGCTCTGGGCAGGGGATGCACCAGAGTGGTCCAGTCCTCCCCCCAGCCCATGGCTCACAAGAGCCCCTTTTCTCCTCTCTATCCCCTCTACCCCGTTCTTCTCCCCAGGTTGGACATGCCCCACCAGCCCCCTTAACCTTTCCCTACCTAAACACCATCTCCCAATGGCAAAATACAATGCCTGATATTTTGGGAGTGTTTCCAGCTGTTTTATTGCCTGGTGCTGGTGGCGATGGGTTGGTTGTTCTTTAAAGTCTCCCCCTCTTTGCTTTCCTGTACTGAGAAGACAAGTAGTGCAGAAGCTGATGAATGGAGCTGTGTACAGTGAAACTTGTGGATTGCTTTCTCTGATTTAACCATAATTGAGTGAAGCACACGGAAGCAAGATTCATTAAAAGGCAGCATATTGATTATTGTTATGACTCTTATACTAGGATACTGTAGCTAAAGCTAGCAAGCCTGATAAGATAAACTAAGTCCTATTTACTGTATTTAACATTATCCGAACATACTGAGCCTTAATTAATGAGATTTTCATTCCCAACCTCAATGGATTATGCTAATTTATAACAAAGGTGGTTCTCGTTTTGTTGATTTTCTGATGGTTTTTTTCCCTTTTCTTCCCCCCCCACTAATAACATGTGTCACATTTTTCCCATCTGAGGAAGATTCCTCCCCAGGCATGGTCAGTCTCAGCCGGGTTAGTGTTGGGCTTAGCCAGGGCTGGGTGCAAGCATCCGACCCGAAGCCCAAGCCGCTTTGCCATGCCTGGGATGAGCTAGGCTGTCATCGCTTATCTCTGCTGCAATTTAATCACTAATCAGGACTTTGGAAGGCTGGTAACAGATGATCTACCCTAAAACGTCAAGTGAAGGAGTCTCAAGAGTTTCAAAACAGAAAGCTCACAGTGAAATGAGCAAAAAGCACTGGAAACCAAAACGGCAGGATGCGGTCTTGGAGCAGCAGCATCCCTCGGAGCAAGCTTGGAACCTAACGCCGCAGCAGTGTGTTATGAGTGTGTCTTTAGTCCTTTGTTGCTAAATCGAACTTCCAATTGGTGATTATTTCCTATCGTGACAAGTTTCCGGGTTGTGGCTGTGCTGTCTGACTGTCAAAAAAGATTCTTTGGCATCCACAAAACTGGTTGACGGATTGGTCTGACCACTGCAGGGTTGCTTGTTTCGTGACGGGTTGAACCGGTTGCGGAAGTGTCCCAGGTTTTGGGTTATCTGGATTCTTGTTATTTTATTTTTTTTTTCTTTTTTAAACCTTATTTTTAAAAAACAACAACAACAAAAGTTTCAGTGAATTCCTTTTTTTTTGTGTTTTTTTTTTGTGTGTGTTTTTTCTTTTGTCTTTGTTCCCTGAGCTCACACTGGGGTCACTCCAATAAAACACGTAGCACGACTTTAACTGTGACCTTTGAAGCCAAAACCGAAGTAATGGTGCAATTAAGTGCAAACATGGAAATTCGCCTGACTTGTAGGTAACCATGGGCTTTTAAACAACATTTAAGGCTTATTGGGGACGTTTTATGCATTAAATTATTGTACTATTTATAATGTCAGCTTCTGTGAATCACCCTCCCACAACGAGTCAACAGCTTGTACCCAGGATTTAAGGGAATTAAATAACAAAGAAAGGGATGGGGAGGAATCAATTCACCGTTTCCACTGTGGCGTTTAGTAGGAAAACAAACTGGTGAAGGCAAGCGTTTCCATTTCCCCTCGGTGATGGCCTGCCCGGCCTCGGGGCCGAGTGTTTCATTGTGCAAAGGGGGTTTCAAACGTCAGTGGGACCACGGCAGCCATTGGAGAGAAGCACGGGCAGGAAAACTTCGCTCAACCTCCCAGGTTAACCCCAGCTCCCCACGGTGTTGACAGAGGATGCTTTTCTCCTCCATCCTGCCCCACATTCCATTTCCCATCGCTCTCAGCGTACCCATTCACCCCAGTCAATCACGTCTGTTTTAACAGTGACCTCAAGGGGGTCGATCCATGGGGCAGGGGTAAGGAGAAATTTCACATCCTGGCTGATGGACGGATCCCGACCAGATGGAAAAAGGGAAAAATCACGACCGAGGGGTTTTTCCCTAAAACCAGAAACTAACGTTGCCCTCTTCCACCCCAAGCGCTTCCCTCCAACAAGCTTTTGTGCTTTAGTCAGTATTTATTTTAGCATCACTTATTTACTTCCTCATATACACGTACCCAGGTGGGTACATCCCCTCCCGCAGCTAGCCACCACCATACCCTCTGCTCGCTCCCTGCTCCGGGGGCAACCATCCCGGGCAGGAATCTGCCCCTCATTAAATAATGCCCATTAATTACACTGCCATCCCTGCAGAGAGCACGGGTACCAGCACCCTCCGCCCTTGGCACCCTCAGCATCGGTCCTGCTGGATGCCGGCTTGCATTCCTGGGAAGCGGGGTCTGGCAGGGAGCCGGGGAGGGACCACCACTGTCACGGTCATCGATGTCGGTGAAGCTGAAGCTGTATCTCAGGCGTACAGAGAAGAGAAAGACAACAGTGCTGAATTTCCAACTATATACACATAGTAAAAACCCCCCCTGCTATGATCCCAGGCAGGAATCAGACATGGCAGTTGGAACTGGGCGTGAGGCCTCGCGCGAGGCGTGCCGGGGAGGAGTTAGGATGCCAGGATGCTCATCCTGACGATGTCCTCGCCGGCCGCATCCAGCTGGCCCCGCTGCGCCCTGCGGGGCTCCCCATCCGAGTCGCTCATCTCGGCGTCGGAGAAGTAGCCGTCCGTCTCGGCGTCGAAGCGACGCAAGGAAGCTCCGCCGGCGCCGTCGGGCTTGGGGGGCTGCGACCGCCTCGGCCCTCGGCTCTCCTTTGGTAATTTAAACCGCACGACGGTTTTGGGGCTACCTACGGAGTCAGGCACTTTGGGCGCGGGGCTGGGCTCCGGCGGAGCGCAGCGCGGCGGCTCCTCCTCCTCCTCCTCCTCCTTGCTCACACAGCCCCGTGCCCCGGGATGAGGCTCACAGGCTTTCGGGATAGAGCCCTTCTTGGCCGCCTTTTTCACCTCGCCCGTCCCTTTGCGGTCGGTGGGAAGCTTCGCAGCCCCTTTCTCCACCTTGCTCGGTCTAGAATCCGGAGCGAAGGGCTTGGTGGCATCATCCGACAAGTCACCGGTGCTGTTAGTCCATAGCTCCGAGCTCTCCGGGTGGCTCCCGCCCACAGCGGGGGGGCTGCTCCGGGGCAGCTTTTTCTTAGTGTTCGTTCTCGTTTTGCTTTTCACTTTCTTTGCGGCCTCGCTCTGCTTGAACGGGGACCGCAGGGAATGGTCCATCATGAAGCTCAGCAAGGTCTCCTCGTCCTGCAGGAGCTCCTCGGAGAGGCCGGGGGTGCTGTCCTCGTGGTGGGCGTTGTTGAGGGACCACTCGCTCATGGCCATGTTCTCGGCAGTGATCTGGACCGACTGCGCCAACCAGCTGTTGAAGAAGGTCCCGTCGATGGGGAAGGAGGTTGATAAGCCTGGAAAAAACAGACGTGGAAGGTTGGTTCAGGAGCCAGGAACAGCCACGCGGCCCTTCGACATCACCAGCTTCACCACAACACCCCACAGTGGAGAGACACCCAAGAGGTCAACTGTAACACACCACATCAGGACACAGAACAGGGTTCACTCCAGCACTAGTGATGAATTTGGGGTTTACAGCACAACAACCCGAGTGCTTCCCCGCATCCAACACCCCATGAACCTCCCCAGATATAAACTGAGCATCTTTCTGCAGTGAAGATGCCAAGCCCCAGCACACCCTAGCATGGGTGGAAAACACATCCCTGTGCAAAGGTGCCAGAAAAGCCATCCCTGTGTAAGCCTAAAAACCTGGTGACTGCCACCAGTGCTCAAGCAAGGGTCCATGGGCTCTCCAGGGAGATGCTGCAGCTGGGCCACCATGCGCTGCCAAAGCCCCTGGCAGCACCGGAGCCAAGCAGTCAGTGGGGTGGTGGGGCCAGTGCTAAACCTGTGTGCAGAGGCAGGGAGGGCAGGAGGCAGGGCTGAGAACTCACGGAGGGATGCCTGGTTTTCCAGGCTCGCAGCAGTGCAGCTTTTCTTGGAGATGCTTTTCCCACCCTCCATCATTTGATGGAATTTGCCCCAGCAAAGCCAAAGCTTCCTTAGCAGAGAACAGCACAGAGACAAGATGAGCGCAAAAGCTGTTACCAAAGGGGCTCCTGCCCATAGCCCAACAGCTTGGAGACGAACAGAAAGCAACAGTTGGGGTGAGCAAAGGGCAAAGCAGAGCAAGGCAGGGTGGTTCAGACCCCCAGACTTCCCATAGAAACTCCATGGGAAGCTGAGCACATGGGAACCCATCGCATCCTGCCCTGCATGCCAGCAGACAGAGGAAGTCACACAAAACCCCAATTCTGTGTAAAAAACCATATGTAGTTGTCAAGGATCTTATCAAAAAAGACCTTTTTGTTTTGGTTTTTTACTTCTCCCCAAGCCCCATCTGTTGCTGAGCAACAGCAGGTTGTGGCTGATGGGGAAGAGCCGGAGGTGGGTGAAGCATCCACAGAGCCAGCCTGCATCTCCTTATCTCCCATAGCAAATTCAAGAGACAGGATTCACTTTGTGCCTGCCTCCTGGATGCTGCTGGCACGACCAGCACAACCACAGGGTTCTGGACAGTTTAAGCCATGCAAATCCACAGCCCATGAGCTGTACCCACCATGGGTGCACAGCACAGAAGACGCAGGGGATCAGCCCTACTGCCAGGTGGGTAAGTCTGATTTTATCACTGGAAAGCGAAATCATGCTTCAGCAGCAGCACATCACAGGGTCTGTAACATCATCCCAATCCAACAAGCCCTAGGGCTGGGGGGGACACTTTACACCCCTTCCCTGCTGAGTACCATGTCTCCAACGTGGCCTCTCCCACAGGACCTCAATAATTCAGGCTGATGCCCACAAAGGGAGAGATGGAAGAGGCTCCCATGGCCTCGGGTGTAACTAAGCAATGTACATGCAGGAGGGATCAGGGGCTGGGACTCTTAACCCTGCTCCCCAAAACAGGGAGCCTCCAGCAGCATGGGTCCCTAAAATCAGACTTACCCAGTTGTCCCAATACAGTTTCGTTGACTGATTTCCTTTTCTCTTTCTTCTCAGGACTATTTTTTCTACCATCTCTTCCTTTCCTCCTCGGGTCACTTTTCTTACCCTTTGTCTTCTTCCCAGTTTGTTCTGGCATTTTGCAGAAAGAAAGGAAAACTCCATGTGAGACGAGGCATCAGGGATGCTGCAGTGAGCAAGTTCCCCTTGGGGCACACCCCTGCAGTGGGCAGCTGGACCAGACCTGCAACCAACTCCAAGCCAAAGAGGGAGCGCTTCCTGGGCAACTGTAGGCTAAGGTCTATGTGCAATAAGAAGATCTGAATCCTATAGGTTATATAAAAACAAGGTTGAGGCCTTGGATATGAACTTAGTGTGGCCACAGGGCTATCCCACTGAAGGCAAGGGACTCACTGGAAGCTCTGCACCACCAAGATGCATTCCTGGATCTGTGCTTTGGGGTGAGGATCTGCATAACCCCAAACGCTGCTCAGACTCCTTCCAGGAGGATGAGGACCCCCAAACCCAGCTGTGTGCCACCCATCACCAACAACAGCATCTCCTGGAGGGATTCAGCTGCAAAGGCAGCTGGACAGCAACGGTGCCAGCAGTGTTTTAAAGCAGACCTTGATTTAATTTGACCTTTTGGCTATAGTAACTGCTCACACTCATAGTGGGTGGAAACAACCCAAAGTTGTAAAACTGAAGCAGTATATTGAGCATAAGCAAATAGAGTAGGAAGGCGGCCAGCACTGCCTATGGAAAGCCGTATGACTCTTAGCTATGTAGCCATTCAGCTAAAAATCAGTATTTCCTAAACGGCTTTGAACTTCTACTGGATTTATTCCTCTTGGGTAAACAGGACAAATACCCCATAAAAGTACAACTTGTATTGCCAAGCAAAACACTTCAACAGCTTTTACTTACTCCATTAGGTCACTCTCCCAGAGAAGTCCACGCTAAAACCTCTATCACTTTTCAGAGGGGGAAGGATACTGCCCTAAAACCAAGATGAGGGTGGCTGATGGAAGACACGCAGTTACTGAGTCTGGCCCGTGGCTGAACCTGCACAAGCAGCTATCAGAGCAGTGATGTTAAGGAACAAACTGGTTCATGCGTTAGGCACCTACAAACAGCTTCAGCAGTGAGGCCATGGGCTGGATGGGTCAGAGGGAATAACCTCTCCTCTCCCCTTGCCTCTGTGATGGAAATACATGGGGTGAGCAGGGGAGGGAATTCACACTGCACCTGCCTGAGTGTGGATTAACAGGATTTATAGCCCCGGGCTTGCCAAGCCAGGACCCCCCCTCCTGACCAGAGCACCCACTGAGAGCAAGGAAGGCAAAAGCTAAGCTGGTGTTCGCTGCCTTCCTGCCAAATAACTGGAGAAGGGCAGACACATTTTCCACTTGGCTTCCAGACCAGAGCTCTGGCTCGGTTCAGGCAGCACAATGGGGCTAAAGAGAAACCCGAGCAGCAGCTTTTGAAGAGGAACCTGTCAAAATAGCAGCCGTGTCTCAAAGCCAGACACTGTTGACTTTCCGTTCCATGCAAGAAAAATACAAGGCAGAGGGGTGGGTTCATCTTACACTGATTTTATTAGAAATCTCCTCCTCAAATGATCACTTGTCAGTGGGGGAAATGAACCCCTCCAAGCTTTGAGCTTTAGGTGGAGCCGTTCCAAAACTGCTTCTGTGCCAAAACCATCTCTGGAATAAGCCCAACAGATTTCTGTCGATGAGTGCTGTAACAGCAGTTAGAAACGGGCCTCAATCAGGCAAAATCATGGCGCCTTCTTCCTGCCTGCAAGAAGCCCCAGGTACCCAGAGCAGCTTGGTGGGGAGCTGTTGGGAGGGGATGCTACAGGAGCAGTCCCCCCACCTTTACACCAGTCAGTGCTTTGCAATGTGGTGAGGGCACAGGGACAGGATGACCAAGGAAGTTGTGAAGGCTCCATCCCTGGCAGTGCTCAAGGCCAGGTTGGACACAGGGGCTTGGAGCAAGCTGCTCTAGTGGAAGGGGTCCCTGCCCGTGGCAGGGGTTGGAGCTGGATGAGCTTTAAGGCCCCTTCCAACCCAAACACTCTGGGACTCTGTGATTCTATGAATATGCAGCAGTGAATTATCCATAGCTTTGGTCCCACTGGTGCCAAGTATCTTTAGCTCCAAGTATTGTCAATTGGCACGGAGGAGGCTTAGCAAACCCTTGGGTGTTGGGAGCACTTGGTAGCACTGGGGTCTATAATGGTGCACGTTCAGGATGGGATGAGGATGAGACAGGAAGGAGCTGAAGCAGAAAATGCACACAACACTGCTCTGCTCTGTGCTGCCATGCACGGGCAGGGCTGTGTAGCTGCCACAGGAAGGCTGAGCCCTTCTCTGACCTCAGTTTCACTGCCCACCCCTCCATGCCACAATGCCACCAGCCCCGGGGCTTGCTCCTTCCATCGGGCAGGAGTTGGAGATGAGCACGCATATGAGGACCACATATTGCACTGGGGAGGAGGTAAGGTGCTCCTGCCTGCACTGCGACTGTCACAGCTCACCAGGCCGTCCTCACTTCCCACATCTGGGATTGCAGCTTAAGATCTGATGCTACACCCTGGTGAGGGAACGCTTCCTGAGCTTGGAAGACCCTACACACCGATGCTGAAAGGCACTTGGGTCCCTAACATCCCCCTGGCATGGAAGGACCCAGATGCTTAAACCACCTGAAGATCGCAGGACCAAACTCCCCCGGTCAGGCTCTATCCCTGGCATCAGTTACTTGCAGGAGTCAGGTCCCAGAGGCAGCAATCCCTGCTCAGGCGCAGGGATGGCTCAGGCCCATCCCAGGAGCAGCTCAGCTCAGTTGGTTCAAAGCAGAAAACAAACTGGCAAACACCATCCATTTGGTGCAGGAGAGGAGAGCATCTGCATCAAAACGTGAACGCCACAGCCTGCACCCCAATCACCTCTTGAGCCACCCTCGCGCTGTGGGTTTGCCTCTGATCACTCACCTTTAGGCAGAGCAAGCATCATGGTAAAGGCAGTTGTGCTTTCCCCAGAGTACATGCATGCCATTTGTGGGAAGGGCAATGGTGCAGACAGCCCCAGAACACGAGCAGCAGAGCCCAGCACAGCTCCCCTCCCTGGCTGGCATCTGCACCCCATCGCAGCCCTCCTCAGGAGGAGCTGCCACGCCATCGCTGCGCTAGACTGGGTCGGGCATGACCAGAGGTTGGATTCCCCAAGGGCATTTCCAGCCATCCAACACCTGGTTTGTGAGGGAGCCAAGTTCAAAAAGCCTTCCTGGCAAAGCACCCTTGTGCCTGTCACCTTCTGAGGGCTGCAAATGCTAATCCAGGTTCGCCCAGATGAACTGAAGAACATCACAAAGTCCCTGTGATCCCCCATCAAACCTGCAGAGCCCAACAGGAACAGCGCATGGAATCTGCCTGCAGGAGCTGAGACTGTTGCTCTTGTCTTTTATCCACCCGTTACTCCTGAGCTGGACCTCCCTCCTCACCAGCAGCATCCCTGTGGGGAGCACCATCCAGCACATTCCCATGTGCCAGAGAACGGCTCTTGGGATGTGGGGTCTCCAACACCTGGGAACACCATTCTGTGTCTGTCCAGCCTGGTGACCTCAGTCACTGGTTCCGTGAGGATGTATGGAGCATCAACACACAGTGGTACTGATCTGTGTCACAGGGCCTGAGGTGTGCAGGAGCCACATCTCCCTGGAGCACACCCTGGGGTCCCGGCCATCCCTGCCTGGCTCTGGCCTTCCAGAGGAATTCACCCAGGCTCCGAGTCACAACCACCTCAACGCACACCCTCCTCAGGCTCCAAAACTGCCGTCAAAGGGAACTTTTGTCAAGGAAAGCTCAGCCCAGACAGTTCCTGAAGAAACCCCAACCATGTGATGGCTTCAAACGCGGCTCCAAAGCCACAAACACAACAACTGCTGGAAGCGCCTGCCAAAGCGCCAGATGCTGCTGCTGGAAAAACTGCTCTGCAGCCACAGGGTCTGCTCTGCTCTGCCACCACAGCAGGAGCTGCGGGCTCCGGGAATGCTTGTGTGAAAGGCAAGAAAGTAGGACAGAAGGAAACCAACTTTATTTCAGTTCCTTAACAGTGAGTTGCCAGAGGCTTTGCATGCGGCAGCATGATGTTCTCCACCAACAGGTATCTGGAGGAGAGGACTGCAGTCAAGCAGTGCTAACGGAGCTGGTCTCTCAGAGCAAAAGACACCCCACTGATAGCTTAACCTCTGATTCCTGACAGAGCCAAAGGCATCTGCAATGAGTCCAAAGCAAGGGCTGCTGACCCATGCCAGGGAGCCAGCTGCTGTGAACCAGCCCCAGCATCAGCAGCCCTGCGGGCACGATTTGCTGTCTCCTGCCAGACAGCTCCATCTCCATAAAGCCCCCAAACACTGCCTTAGCATCACTGCCTAGCCAAACACTTGGGCTTTCTGGTAGACTCCTGGGGAGAGGAGGATCAAGAGGCATCTGTGAAATCACTCCGGTCACCCGGGGTACGGCTTTATTGGGTGCTTCTGAACAAAACTGGAGATGGGTAAAGACTCAACACACAAACCAACCTTGGGCAGAGGGAGCTCTGGTTCCCTTGGGGAGGGGTCTGAGCCTTAGGCACCCGTCTGGCTTCAGAGGACAGCAGGGACAGAGTGTGTGAGAACAAGCTCTGGCAAGCGGTACTGACCTGGGTAAAGATCTTTCTCAATAAGCTTCATCTGGAGATGGAAGATCTGCTCCTGCAGCTTACAAATGGTGTGCTTCATTTTCTCCCGTCTCGTCACCATGTAACACAGATTTCTAACCTACGGAAGCACAAGAAACAGTGTCAGGTTTAGGCAGTGTCTGGTTTGGGACCCAAACTGAGGGGAAAGTTTGGGTCCCCTCAAACTGTGTTGCTGCTTCTGCTGCCCTGGGAAATCCACACGCCCTGAGATCCGGTCCTTTTCACCTCACAGGCCAAGGGGAATGGCTTTAACCTACCCCAGGGGAGACTGAGATGAGCTCTTAGGCAGAAGCTCTTCCCTGTGAGGGTGCTGAGGCGCTGGCACAGGGTGCCCAGAGAAGCTGTGGCTGCCCCATCCCTGGCAGTGCTCAAGGCCAGGTTGGACACAGGGGCTTGGAGCAAGCTGCTCCAGTGGAAGGGGTCCCTGCCCGTGGCAGGGGTTGGAGCAGGACGAGCTTTGAGGTCTCTTCCAACACAAACCAGTCTGCACTCCTATGATCATTCACAATTCACATTCAGTACTTGTTGCAGCTAGGACAGAGCATAGGAAATACAGCAAAATATGCAGGTGATGCTGGCCCAGGTCAGCAGCTGGTGCACCTCCCCTACCCCAAATGTAGCCCCTTTCTATGGTTACTCACACTTGCCCCTGCAAATCACTGCTGCCTTCTGTCCCCATTGCAAACAGCAGAGCACCAGACATAAATGCTCATGTGAGCCAGCACGGGAGTGGTTAAACCCTGCTCATCACACAGGGATGCTGATGAACACCTTCTGAGACAACAGAGCTACCGCGTGGTACCCACTGGCATCTGCCTGGTGATGAATCTCAGTGCCATGGGGTTTGCCAGCCCTGTATCAGGGTGGCTGCAGAGCCGGGCTCTGTCACCATGGCTGCACCGGGCAGCGAGGCTTTAGGAGGAAACAGGCTTTCAGCTGCGAAACAGAAAATGCCAGTGGCAGCTCTAACAGGATTTGACAGCGTTTACTCAGCTTCCTGGTGCTCTGAAAGAGAAAACTGCCTGTAATGAAGTGAGGAGGAGGGGGCCCGACTGGAGGCACTGCAGCAATGTGTGTGGGTATGTCCAGACTCGCACCTGAGACCCTCATGCCTCCGATTCCTCCCTCTCCTCATGTTCAATCCCTGCTCTGCAGAGGAAGGCTGGGGCATTTCCAGGATTAGGGAACTGCTCCTACACGGTGAGGAGCCTTTGTGCCTCTCACAGTGACAAAGCAAGCCAGGACATCATCCCTAGTGTCTGCCACCAAGGGCTGTGAAGGCACCAGGATGACCCCCTGATGGCACCAGTCTTACCTAAGGACAATCTGGGAACACGTAGGAATACAGGAGAAAAAGCTGCTCCTTTTGCTGTCGAATCAGCTAGCTGTAAACGCAGAGCAGTGAGCTAATGCTGTGTATTTTTGTTCTGGATTGGAGAAAACATCAACCCCAAATTTCTTCATGAGAAAAACAACTGCCTCTGGCAACCTGCATCTCCAAGTGTTTGGCGGTATCTCTTCCCTATGATTTGATATTCCTGGAAGAAAACATCACTTGTGCTCTGCTTAGAGACTGCTGGTATTTACACACACTTACACAGCTAAATACCACCCAGTGCTGCTTCCCCAAGCCAAGCTTGGATGGTACGAGAGACAGGAAACTACAGCTTTATGTTAAAGCTGAATTAAAGCACCAGTCCTTATCCAGATACCATTATCAGCCCCAGAATTACAACTGTTCCTGACAGATCAATTACTGAGAACACTAACATTGAATGTGATGCCCTGCGGACACCTCCTCAAAGCCACCCCTCCAGGCTGCCCTTCTACAACATCTATTTGATGCTTTGCCTCACTACTTGTAAGTGAAAAGGGGCGGCTGTGAGCGGCACTGACAGGCAGGATCAGATACCTGGGATGCACTGGATTTAAACCTGTATCACCCACTGGACTTTGATCTGGCCAGTGTTTATTGTTCCCTGTCTCAGAAGCAGAGCAAACAAACAGCTCTTCCAGGGCCAGGCAGTGAAACCTGGCAGGGAGTTGCTAAGCAGAGGCTGAACGCTGACGGGGAATGACCCCACAAAGCCTGGAGGTTACTGTGGTAAATGAGGAAATCTGGTAAAAAGTGTGGCTTTGACACCAAAAAACATCAAGGAGAAGCTGCCATGCCATGGGTTTGAATTAGGCAGCTCCCGGAGCAAAGGGCTGTACGAGAGATGCAGCGATGCACTGCAGACTGTACCCAGTGATGCACGGTGGTTCACTGCAGCTGGGAGCAAGTGGAAGCAGAAGGAGGCAGAGCAGCCTGGTTTAGATTTACACTACAGAGAAGCAGATGAGGGAAGAAAGGGAGTTAAACTTGTCACCCCCGGATCTGGCAGCTGCAGCCTGTTGCCTACAGCTTGGTGCTGGAGACCCATTAACAGTGGCACCAGCCCAGACCACCACAGAGGTGGGAACATGATGCAGTACAGGCAGGAGCAAATGAGGCACAGACTGATGTCAATGATGTATGCAGGGATAGTGGCCAAAAGGGCCACAGAAAAGAGACCGATAGCTTGAAATCCAATTGCTTTTACACAGGAGAAGGCTCTCAGGCTCTGAGACCCACCCGGGAAGTGGGTGCAGCAAGGAACCAGGATGGTTTGGTCCAGAGCTGAACCCCCACCTGGATGTGAACATGGTGCTGACCCACACCACCCTTTTCTCTAAGGGTTAAACTATGCCACAGACCCACAGCAGCTTGGAGAGAGGGATCAGAGGTGCAGAGCAGCAGCATCACCCCAGGGACAGCATCACCATCACCTTTGCCTCCCGGGGAGCAGCACGTCCCCTGCAGCACCCTGAGCACCCCTGCTCAGGGCACCACATCCACTGCATCAAAGCAATGCTATTTTCCTGCTTTCCTCCCTCTTCGCCTGCTCCCAGTGACTCCCTGAGCCCTTCCATGGTGTCTGCATAGTGAGCAATCACGCAGGGGCCACGGATTCACCCCTCTGGCAGGAGCAGGAGAAGGGGGGACCAGGCAGGGCTCAGGTTTTAAGCAAAGGAGAAGAAGGAGCTTGGCCCCTGCATGCCAGGCTCGCAGCCCTGTCCTGCCTTTCCTTGTCTCACTGCTGCCCTGTGCTATGCCCATTTCCCCCACCCAGCAGCAGCACCAGTGCATCCATCCCCTCCCCTGGCCACTCTTTGCTGTCCGACACAGGGTGCTGTGCTGTGCTTCTTCCCCTTGTTGCTTCTTGCTTCCACTGCTCCTCCTCCTCTCCAGCCTGCTCTACCCCATCCCTGCTCCTTCCATCCATGCAGCCATGACAGCCCAATCCACAGGCAGGCAGTGATGCTGCAGCAGCCAGCACAGCCAGGGGAGGTCCAGCACTGCTCTGGCACTGCTCCTCCATGGATGCTTGCTCTCACCCCAAAAGCTGCCGTGGCAGTGGCTGCTCCCTCCCCTGCGCAAGGATGCCCTGCTCCACAGGGAGCTGCAGGTGCCTGCATCCTCCATCTGCATCCTCCGGCACGGCTCTGCCTCCACCAGCAGCTCCTTGAGGACCTGACCCACTTTCGGCTGCAGCAGGGTAGGGAATGCCCGGTCCAGCTGGCCCCACTGCTCCCTCCTGCCATTCCCCTCTCTTTGATGTTCAATGTAGGAGCATAATGAGGTGTTCCTGTGCCTTGCTGCTGGAGAGCATCTGAGGGGCAGGCACTGGGTAGCTTTGTGGTTTGAGACTGTGAAGATAGAGTGGATAGAAGCTGCAGCATCATCTGCCTCCCATCCACCTGACCCCACCGAGGCACCTCTCCCCATAAACATTTGTTCTTTTGAACCCCCAGCTGAGGCTGCCACTAACTTCCTTCATCAGTGTCAGTGTTTTGGCAGTGATGATGCACACACTGAGCACTGTTATTCTTCCTGATAATGCTCTAGATGGAGGGGCCCGACTGTTTTGGGAGTTGAACTGAGCCAAGTTCCACTTTACTATAGACTATAAATGCCAGCACACATTAAAGCAGCCCTGATGGAGCGTATGGGCACACCACCGAAGGAAAAGCTGTACTCACCCTCTCCAGGTCTTGCCTGAGGTGCATGAAGAGCTTTAGGCGTCGGTAGAGAACATCCTGTTCTTGCTGGGCCAAGTTGTCCACTTCATCTGTTTTTGGTGTCAGCAGCGGTTTGTTGGAGTTTGCTTTCCTCTTCAGCTTCCAGTACTGGTAGACAAAATCCACCAGCGACTCGCTCAAGTCCAGGTTCTCCGCCACCTCCGAAGGCTTCACGAGTTCATAGAAGTCCTCCTCCAGCTGCTGGAGCTTCTGCTTCCGTAGCGTGACCTTCTCCAAGTCCAGCTGCGCTTGGTCAGGCTCTGTCCGCGCCTCCTCGGGCAGCTTCGTGGCACCGGTGCTGTGCTCAAGGCAGAAGGACTTGAACTTCACTTCGTCGTTGTCTGCTAGGATCGTCCGCATGTCGAGGTTGTGGTCGAAGGCGCAGGTGACGTGGAACGCGGTGACGCAGGCGGGCATGGAGCACTGCGGGGACAAGGACAGGGCTTATGGCCAGGACAAAGCACCTACTGCTTCCCACAAACCCATCTGAGTGACAGCCCCCACTGGGAAGCGATGGATGCTCCACAACCGGTACTCCTTATTGCCCAAGTCTTAGACACCTATGAGCCAGACACCCAAGCAGAAGAAACACTAGGTATGAGCAGGCACCTTCCCACCTCACCTGCTTTAATCCTTCTCTCTGCTGGGCTCTGCTCACCCTTCACCTACAATAAGCAGGAGCTTCCAATGGTTCTTCCAACAAGACATGACAACAGCCGAAGACGACAGCGCGATGCTCGCAGGCTGTCAATGGATTTCTCCTGATGGAATCTGTATTTCACCCTTAAACTACTCCAGTTACCACATCTAAAGTGAATATGCTGTTTTTATTGAAAGCATACAGAACACGTCAGTGTTTATGAGTGAACATGGGATCTCAGAGGCAGCCAACACTCCCGGAGCACGATGCTGCTCTCCTCTGGAAATTACACAGCCTCTAATTAGCTCCATTAAAAAAGGGGAGGGGAAAAAAAAGGGCAACTCAACATCTACAGAGCAGAACATCACGAAATGAACCTTTCCGAACGGGCACAGCGGCTGGACTGCTGTCAAACTTATATCACACTGACATTATAACAGTTCCCCACAGTTTATATTACTTTGGATCCCACAGGCAACAAACCTCAGCCTGGTTTCCTACAGAGAACACCCCCCCCCAAGCCAGCGCTGTGCCTGTGTCCATGTCAGCACCTTCTCCCCCTCTACTCATTAACTGGTTTTTAATGGCTCTGAGTATCAGGTAATTATTTCTACCATAACCCATAAGAAATCAGTCTATTCCAGCTGCTAATGACCAGTTTAACTGCAATAATGAGACATTTTAAGTGGGCTATTACTGTAGGCACCGTATTTCAGTGTTTATAGAAGAATTATTCTTGTGGGGGATGAAGATGCAGCTGTGGCCTGAAGGACCAGGCGGAGGCACATGAAATTTCCTGGATGTTGACCACAAACCATTCAGTTTAACTGGGGCTCTGCTGCACTTCAGTTCTCAGACAGAGGGAAAGGAAGCGTATGCTCTGTTAGGAGCTGAGGAGCAGAAGCTGTACGGCTCTTTATCCTCATCCCATCGGCCCTGAATGCCTGCTCCATCACCCAGCGTGTGAACTTCTGACACTGCTGCTTTTAGATGTTTTCCCTTGACTTTGTTAATGAAGCTGCTGGTGCTTATGGAAGCAGAGACTTGCCTAGATACCAGGGCCAAGAAAAGCATAAGCAAGTGCTGTACAAGCCCTCCACTTCCAGGGCTCTCCAAGCCCTGCTCCAAAGCCTCCAGTGGGAAGAGCTGGATGCAGCCTTCCCATGGCCGAGCCCTGAACTGTACTAGCATGGCTCCAGGCAGTGATGCTGGGCACTAACTCCCGCAGGCATCAAATGCAAGCAGGCTATGAACTCCTAATCCCTGCTCGCCCTGTTGGAACTGGATGCGCTTTAAGGTCCCTTCCAACACAAACCATTCCATGATTCTATGCTGCCGGCAACTGCGTGGAGCCTGGCATCACAGGACCCATAGGACAAGCCCTGTTGCAGCCTCCCACGTGGCTGAAGCACTAGCTCCACCCTCAAGTATTTAGTTTTGGTGATGAAGGAGGGACAGAGGGAGCTCAGCCTGACTTGAAGCCTCCAGATTTCTTCGGTGCAGTCAGTGTGTCACACACTGGCTTTTACAGCTCTGGCATGCACTTCTGCAGCCACTGGCACAAGAAGATGCAATGAGACTTGAGATTCACCCTTCTTCACTTTAACAACACTTTCAGGATACTTTGCCAGCTGGAAGGTCCCATAATTGAGCTTTCTTCTCTGGCAGCCAAGATGTAGCATGGCACTACCATGGAGCTCCTGATTCACTCCCGATGTACTCCTGATATACTTCATCCTGGCCATTTTGGCATTAACAGCTGGGGGTGCTTCAAGCTACAGCATCCTTTTGTGCTGTTATGCACATAAATATCTAGAGTGGAGAGAGTGGGCACAGAACTCACCACCACAGTGAACCACGCGAGTGAAGGAAAGCTGCAAGGATGTTTCTGCCACCAGAGCTAACAACAGCATTAACAACAGGGCTGTGGCTTCTGCCAGGACAATGTCCTGCTAACAGGAAAGACCATCACTCCACCTTAGGAACAAAGCACATGGAATGTCACCCGTGCCGGATCTCTCCTCTGACAGATGGCAAGCAGCACTCGGCAGAAACTGTGCCCAAAATGCAAACAGAAAATCATCAGGCAGCCCAGCTGACAGGGCAACAGAGCAAGGTACCTGCTCAGCCACGGCTACCCAAGGACCTTCCATACACTGACAATAAACCCACACTGATCCACCCCAGAACAGCGCTGGAATGAAGCAGCTCATCGCGGGAGAAGGGATCTGCCATGCAGAATAAACCAGGCTCAAAAGACTGGCCCAGCCCCTAAGTCTGCTTCGTTATTGATGATTATCTCACAGGACCTTTCACTCGAGGATCTCAGCTCACTTTGCTCATCCAGACAAATCCATTCCCAAACACAATTCCGAGACAGAGAGGATGAAAACTGCACCAGAGATTACTGTGGGCTGATAATGAGTCCTCAAACCACTGACTGGGAAGAAACAGAAGGATGGTTTTATGCGCTAAGGGAGCTCAAACAGAAGTTTTCCAGCTTACAGAGGTGCTCTGGTGCAGTTTGGGGCCGGAGGGGAAGGAAGCAGCTCCTCCAACAGACCTGCAAGGGGGACTCAGGAAGGGAAAATGAATTACCGGTGCTGAACTGCAGCCAAGCCATCAGCCAGGACACTCCTGCATCCTTACCAACACCACCATGTGATGCTCAGTGACCACAGATGGTCTGGATCCTGGTAGCGCTTCTCAGCCCAAACAGGCAATTCTCAGCATCCGGGAACCACTGCACCAGTTATCCCAGTGGATGGGGACCAGCGGCACAAGCAGCTCAAAGGGGAGCAGTGGGAAGAGGAGCAATAAGGAACGATTGGATGGTGGAGGATACTTTTGAGGGCTTTTTCCTCCAAAAAGCAACAACAAAAAGAAAGCTGGAAGATGGTGACGGGAAAAGATTGTGCCCTTTGGAGAAGCCTGCCAGCAGCTAACAGGGACCTGGCATTTTGTACTGTGTTGAAAGGCCTCGGTGAGCACTTCCAGTTGTTCTGACAGGGATTTGGTGAGGAGGGAGCTGGGTCCCAAGGAAGCGTGGTCAGGACTCCTGGCACTTTCTTTTCCATCTCAGCAATGCAAATGAGAAAATTCCTGCTGGATACCGAGCTCTCCTTGGCATGTCCTGGTGTCTGACCACAAGAACCACCATGAAGTCATGATTTCCCTTTAACAGGAGCCGGGGATAGGGTGACGCCAGGGCTGCATCCCTGCCCAGTGTCCAGGAGCTCTGGCTCAACTATGGATATGACAAGTTACACCGGGTTCAAAGCTCTGTACCAGAAAGCAAGGGAAGTCATTATGAGGAAGCAGGAAGGTCAGGCAGTGGGAATCCCTTCCCTTGGGATTTGACCCTTTGATGGTCAGATTTGGATGAGGAAAAACACCTCGATGCTCAGAGGTCCCCATGCAAAAACTTCTCACGTTTGTCTCTGCCCATGTGGTCCAGGTGGGTGTTTCCTTGCTGCCCCTGAGCATCCCCATGCTCCGTTGGGATGATGCTCTTCCACCCCTCCAGCCTGCCTTCCAGATTTCACCTCCTGGTCCAACAAAGCCCATTTCCAACCAGCCACTTGGAAACCCCCCTCCTGGAAACAACTCCCTTTCATCCCCAAACCTGCCCCACCTGCAGCACCTGATTCCTGAATCAAGAAAAGCTCAGTGCTGGAACAGAGAACAACCTCCTCCTGTCAGAGCTGGGTCCTGAACCCAAAACGCTGACAAAGGTGGTTGGATTACACCTGTATAAACAGGCACTGATCAAAAACACGCTCCATAAACAGAAGCTTGCAAAACAGAGCTCTGTACCGCTGATGAGTACAGAGTGTGCTTATTTACCTGTGCAGGAACTTGTTGATTTACCCCATCAATCCTTAAATAAAGGCTCTGCTGCCCTTTTTCCCCCCTTCTCCCCCTTTTCCTTGAAGCAAAAGCACCCCGAGCATGGAAGGGTGGCCTCGGCAAGCACTGTGGTGGCAATCTCATGAAGCCTTATAAACCATGAGCTGCCGGCTCATGAGACAATAAAGCTTCTGTTCCATCTCAGGTGACCTTTAATGCAAATCCATTCAGTCCCCGGGATCTCACAGCTCCCATGCCATGCCGGCACTAAGAGGATGAAGCCTCAGAGAAGCTGAATTCTTTTTGATGCTGCCAAGCCTGTTTGCCTCCTTCCCTGCCCTTCCGTTCTTTGAAAGCAGTTGCCGTTATGACACAGTCTCTCCATCTGGCAGGGTGAATAAGCAGATCCACCCGGAGCCATCAAAAAAGATGTGAGTCAACGCCAGAGATTTAAAGAAGTATTGTGAGATTTCATTTCAAGCTAAGGGGATTGCTTTTAAATAGCTCCCTTTAAAGTATTAAACCCAGAGCAGCGACATGAACGCAACAGAGCCTGCAGACCTCCTATTCCTATCACCCCTTCTGCAACCAGCCAGCTGCTCCTCATCTCCCATAGTGAGTGCTGTGAACACCAACCTCCGAGGTGCAGCTCCCGTTGCTGTACTGGAGCTGATCAGTTTGGACTGGTCCACATCCCAAACCTTCTCCCAGTTTCTCAGAGCTTAATGGTTATTCTGTCCTCTCCTGCACCCCAAGACTGCTTCAATGCCGGCTTTACCAGTGAAAGCAACAGGCACAGGCACTGTAGAACAGCAGATCCCCACGCCCATTCCCTGGGACCATTGGGATATTGCACCGGCCAAGCACAGGGAAGCAGGGAGAATCACAGCAAGGATTCCCAGATGCTCTCACACCAAGAGTGCTGCATTTTGGATGGGAGCTTCTCTTCTTTGCTCTCCAAGAAGAGAGCTCACGGCCAAGGAAGCTCTGTCCCACTTTTGTAATAGGAAAACCCAGAGCATCCTGCTTTCTGTCTGAAAAGAGAACTTACCTTCCTGCTGCAGGGAGAGCAGGCAATCAGATGTCTGCTTAGGTGTGGCAAACAGGAGAAAATGTGGGAATGCAATGGTAAATACTCTATGGGAATGTATACTCTACTTTAGTGTGAGGTGTCCCTGCCCATGGCAGGGGGGTTGGAACTTGATGATCTCAAGGTCCTTCCCAACCCAAACTATTCTGTGATCCTATGATTCTATGATTAATACATGGTAAATACTGCATTTTCCAAGCCAGCAGGCTGGTGGGGACTACCTAATCCTGGGGCTCCCTGATATCCCCCCAACAGAAAGGCTTCCCACCGGTTTGTGAAGTACTTGGGCTCTGTATCCCACGAGCATCCCACTTTCCCGGCAGCTCTGCCAAGCCTTTCTGCTGGAGGCTCCTGGTTTCAAACCAAGGTCATTTGCAGCCCTGGTAATTAGTGTCACTACAGCAACATCACTGTGTTATGCAAAGAAAGTTAATCTAGATTCCTAGCACCCAATACATTAAATGATTGCAAACACCTCATGATATCTGATGGGCGCTCCTGCTCCCTGTCATTAGGTTTACTCCGAGCAGGAATAAGCCTCAGCCAGATCACATCCTCTAGCATGTCGAGAATCTCCAGTGGCAACTAGAGGCACAACCCCAGAGGTCTGAGTTTCTTTGGTGCCAGGTTACATACCTGAATACAAGTCCCAGTGCACTCCTTGCAAAGGCTGCAGGACAAAGCCCATCTGCTTGCTGGGATATGAGAGATCTTCGTAATGGGTTCCATTTTTTCAGGACATCCAATGCTAACCTGGCCACGAAACAGAAGACAAGTTGTAAATCCTGCCTTCCACCCCAAATCTCCCACAAGAGGGTATCTGTAGTAGTGTGAATGAGGGATCCATTTCCTGTTTGTTATTTTTCAGGGTCACTTGTAAGCTGGAAAATAAAACCAAACCCCCAAACCCAGAAACCAGTTTGGGTGAAATGGAAGGAAAGATCTATGTCTTTCCTCTGAACTAACTCCTCACCCGGCTGTTGCTGTGTATCTCAGATGGGTACATGGAATGAGCTTTACCTTACCTGGAGGTCTTGTGAATGCCCCCCACCTCTCTGCCCTTGCACCCCACCTCTGTGTCCTCCCTTAATAGGCTGCCCCATGGCTGCTAATCAAACACACAGCCTGGCGACCCACCAGTATCACAGCCGTCACCCAAACTGGACTTGCTATTTACACCATTAATGGACATCCTGGGCTGAGACTTGAAACGAGGTCCATGCCCGCCCGCCCGCCCGTCAAGAGGAGGTCGGGAAACATCTTACTTCAGGTATCCATAAGGCACAGCTAACGTGGACCCATTTCGTCCCGCTCCGGGTGGGCTTCAGCGCTCCCCCCCTCTTCGGGCACAGTAGACACTTTGGCTGAACCCCAAGGGCGCAGGTCCGGCACAGCCAGCTCCCGATGGGCACCTTCAGGATGCCGTAGCACGCCTGTGCAGACACGAGGCAGGAGGGTTAGGGCATCTAAGAGCAGGTAAAGCATCATCCCACACCTCCTCCTTTGCTCCCCCCTTTTTCACTACCGCTGGCTTCCTCCCACCACATCTGGGCATCCTAATGTAAAGCAGTTCCGCAGTCACTGACAGCGAGGTTAAGCTCTTCCTTCGTTGCTACCTTCCCTATTTTCACACGGATACTCATGCTGGATCAGTATGTCTGGGGTTTTAACTAAAAGCTAAGTGTAAAAATGTGCTGTGCATCGTGCCAAGCATCCTCCTGGCTCTAGGTCTGGGGTGGGCAACCCAGCTGCTCCGACACCAGCAGCTCTGCTCTGTGGGCAAAGCCTGTTTCTAGCGGCCATTAGACCCACAACAACTCAGAGGAGTAAGAAATGCCATGTGGAGAAACCTCTGAGGTAGCTGAGGGCTGAAAAGCCACAACCTCATCATTGAGAAAGATGGCCACACTGGTTACACCCCAACACAGCCTGGAGGGGAAGTGAAAATAACTACAGAAAGGTAAAAAGGGGAAAGCGATAGTCACACATATGAATCAGAAAGGAGGAACCACAGAGGATAATAAACATCAAGGACAATAAATCTAAATGACACAAGAACAAGTCTACAGCCAAGAGAGCTGGAACTAAAGGACTCGGCTCACCCACGGAGCTCCCCGACCTGCTGAGATAGTGCAGGACACAGAGAAGCCAAAGTGTTCATAAATGCTTCTGTTCCGTTCTTGGGGAAGAGCCAAATGATAAGCCCTATCCCATAGTGATGGTGATAAAATACTTTCCACTCCGGCTGTAACTCATGACAGTATTAAACAGCTACTCCTAAAACCAGGCAGTTTGTAACCAGCAGGTCCTGGCAAGTTGCACTCAGGCTTTCAGCGAGTGGCACACAACTGCCTCGGGCATAACGCGGGGCTGTGCCACTATCTTAAGCGAGGAGATGTAATTCATACTAGAGCTGTCTGCTCTGAATCCCTGCAGGAGGGAAGCGGCAGTAAGGACCCGGTGCTGCTGGCTGGGAATGAGCCCAGGCATTTGTCAGCTCTGATGCTTGAAGTTTACCACCCCCCCCCCGGCCCCAAACCAGCTTTTCATCCTGCTGGAGGTCACCGCCACTGCAAGTGACAGGGGCAGAGGGGGCACACGGAGAGGCATGAGCGTGGGAAAAGCACATCCTCAGTCTTTGCTGGCCAAGAACAGACTTCATAATGACAGGAAATCTGGACAGGGACTTTTCACAAGGAGAGGCAGGGACAGGCCAAGGGGAATGGCTTTAACCTGCCCCAGGGGAGACTGAGATGAGCTCTAAGGAAGAAGCTCTTCCCTGTGAGGGTGCTGAGGCGCTGGCACGGGGTGCCCAGAGAAGCTGTGGCTGCCCCATCCCTGGCAGTGCTCAAGGCCAGGTTGGACACAGGGGCTTGGAGCAAGCTGCTCTAGTGGAAGGGGTCCCTGCCCGTGGCAGGGGTTGGAGCTGGAGGAGTTTTAAGGTCTCTTCCAACCCAACCCAGTCTGGGATTCTATGATTCTATGACTTTTGGCTGTCCCGAAGCACAAATCGACTCAAGACAGTGATTTCCAAAGGGAAAAAGCCACTTCATGAAAAGATTATTGGGATAACAAGGTATTAAGGCAGGTAATATTGTTGTTGCATGTCTACATGGCTCACAGAGACCTAACTGTGTGCTTCACAGCACCTCCAAACCTGAGAGATAAACCATTTCTGTAACAGAGTTCTATAAACCATGTGATTTAGTACCAAACAAAAAGCAGCCTGGTATGTACTGTCAGGAGCATAAACTGGCAGATTGAGCTCAAAATCCAGGGGAAAGCAGGAATTATGACCACTTGTGCATCTCTAGCAGAGTCTTGGCTCTCAGTTCTTTACTCCTGGAGGTTTTAGAGCAGCTGAAGGTGCAGTTCTGCTCCGAGAAGCAAATACTACAGCATCTCTGACCTGGACAAGGAGTGCTTCTAGATAGGAGGTGGGTTATCAGCTAAACACGCTCTCCCAGTCCATCACCAGCCAGAAGGTGCTATGGGAATACGGAGCCCGAGCAATGCTGAGTAGGAGCAGAGCAGCTATTTTTATTGCTGTGCCTGTCACGGGTGCAACATCACTGAGAGGGATGCTAAAAACCGGGGAGGATGCTGAGCCACAGGGAAGCTTAGTGTGGTGCATGCAACAGAGGGAGGGCTTGGCCACGTCCTCACACCAGGGAAGGGGAGCTCAGTAATGACAGGACCCTGCACGGTGGCTGGAAGCTGGAGATGGCTCACTCCTATGCTAAAGAGAAGTGTGATGTTGCCACCGTGACAGCAATGAACCACAACGATTTAGCAGCAGGGGGGAAGATTCCTCCTCACTGAAGATCTGGGAACGAAGATTGCATGTGCTTACTAGAAGCTACGCTTCACAGGAATTAATTAATAGCAAGCCTCGTGGCTTGCCTCATGCAGATGAGATGTTTACAACCATACCTTCCGGCACCAGCACCTACCAACGTGTGTCTGAGTGCAACCCTGCCTCTGCCCCTTCCCGATGGGATGCAGGAGGATGAACCATGGCTCTGGCTGCTTCTGATGGGACCCCCAGCTCCCCTTCTCAGCTGGGAAAGCATCATCCCCAGCAGGTTTGGGATGTGGGGCTGACAGAGGCACGGGGCAGGTTAGGTGAGAAATGTGATGCCATGTAACATCCCATGCTGTGGCTCTGGACTTTGTGGCTCAGGGTGCAAATTGGGGCAGAGATCGAATCACAGGCAGCTTATGGGCTGGCATCAGGCTTAGGGCTGGACTCTGCTCCCTGAAAACAATGGAAAATCCCCCTTTTCCTTCAGCAGCCTCGAAATCCAGCCTGCTGCATCCCCTTCTGACAGCCAGGGTCTGTATGGCCCCATGACACCCTGTGCACGCTGACCACCTCCCCCTGAGCCTCTGCCCACCCGCAGCGGTCAGCTCACAGCCTGACACTGCAACCTGGGCTTGTTAAAAACCCAGCCCCAACCCAACATCACTCAACCCCAAGCCTGAATTCATGCTGGCATTTTGTGGAATCTGATTCACTGATGGAAACCATTCAAAACACCCACCTCCCGCAACTATAGATATCTCCAGTGCTCTCCCACCTCCAGGAAGCGATGATGGAAACGCTGCCCAAAAGATGAGCAAAACGGCTCTCTTCAGAGCAACAAAAACCCTTTCATGCAGAGGGTGAAGCCCAGAAGCTGTTGCTGCTATCCCAGCACCACACAGTGCTTCCCCTCAAAGCACAAGTAGCAAAACCTCCCCGGACCCATGGAGACCCTCACACGGCTGCTTTCTCCTTGTCAAGGTTTCCCCCAGCGCAGGCTCCCCCCCAGGAAGGGCACGAAGCATTTGCATTCAGTTCTAAAAATAAAGCTATTTCCCTGCAGGCAGCACAATCAAATGAAACCCTACCCTCCTATTGCAACGAGAACCAGTGCTCGTGGAGCTGGCAGGTCCTGCTACCCCTGTGGTATGCTGCGGGAGAGGAGGACGTTGGAGGTCTGTGCATGCCCATCCCTCCTTGAGAGCAGGGTGACTGTGGGGCTGCAGACCCACATCCTTCCCAGCCCAGCAGCCAGTCCTGCACATGGTGCTAAAGATCTCACTGCAGTTTAATAAAGAAAGATGGGATAAAGAAGAAGAGGAGGAGACATAAAATAAAACATGACAGAGATCAGAGAATAAGGAAGAGGGGCAAAGCAGGAGGCTGTTTTCAATCTCTGTTGTGTATTTCTATGGGCATTTATGAAGGGTTGGGGCTAAGAAACTAAGAATAGCAAGTTTGCAGCCTGTCAGCTGTCCAAGACCTCATTTGCTACCCTTGTTCCACCAAAATTGCACTGGGAACCCATCAGAAAAGCCTATCAGAGATCTACAGCTCAGGGCAGTGGGAACGCTGGGGATGGGAGGAACCCAGAGGAGCATACAGAATAACAGAATCACAGACGGGTTTGGGTTAGAAGGGACCTTAAAGCTCCTCCAGCTCCAACCCCTGCCATGGGCAGGGACCCCTTCCACTAGAGCAGCTTGCTCCAAGCCCCTGTGTCCAACCTGGCCTTGAGCACTGCCAGGGATGGGGCAGCCACAGCTTCTCTGGGCACCCTGTGCCAGCGCCTCAGCACCCTCACAGGGAAGAGCTTCTGCCTAAGAGCTCATCTCAGTCTCCCCTGGGGCAGGTTAAAGCCATTCCCCTTGGCCTGTCCCTCCAGGCCCTTGCCCACAGCCCCTCTCCATACAGAATCACGCCGTGCAGGCAGCCCAGAGCTGCTGCTCTCAGCTCACCTGGTGCACGCAGACGTTGCACTTGTCACAAAACACCATCTCGTTGCCGTCCTCCCCCTCCGGCGAGCGGCACACGTCGCACACCACGTCCTCGTCGTACTCGATGCCCAAACCCTCCTCTGTTTCGATGGCGATGTTCATGTTCTCATAGCACATGGTCTCCAGCTCCTCCAACACTCGCTCCAGGGTGATCTCATCCAGCTCGGGCTTTTCTGCAAGGCAGAAGGCAGAGGAAGTCACTGATGCAGCTCCGGTGCCTTCAGGGAGCGCTTTGCAAAGGGCTGAGCGTTTCAGATTGCAACTCAAGAGGCAAATCCACGGCGATGGCAAGAGCAGTGATTCAGAAAACGGCTGCTCCGAACTCAGGATGCAGTTTATATTTCATAGACAGTAACAAAATATTGCTGCTGGCTGAGAGGAACGAAACCCATTCAGCTGAAGCAATGCGGATAATTAGGGCTGACAGTTTCAGTGTTCAAGGAGACAAGTTCTGCAGAGATGCGTTCTGCAGCGAGGGCTCGGACAAGCTTTGGCAACACTAAGTCAATGCTTTAATTGTGAAGGCTGAAAATTGACCTTTTTTGAGGCGAATTAAACGGAGCTGTGAAAGGGAAGCCAAAGGCCGACACGGAGAACAAAGGGGCTTATTCCTGGTTGGGTTTAGCAGAACCAGAAGGACAGACCCAGCTACAGGTGGGCTCGGATCTGCTGCAGTGCCTTTTATTCCCCCTACACCAGTATCTTTAGTGGAAAGAAGTGGCAGAGGTGCTTTACCAGAGGTTTCTCTACAGTGATAACCAGCAACACAATAACCAGGAGAGGCTTTCACAGAGCAGCAGCCTCCAGCAGTGGGATACCTGGATACCATTACAGGGGGCTGCTGCTGCCTGATGCTTGGCTGCAAACAGGCTGCCTCTCACCTGCCCACAAAGCTCCTGTTGCCACACACACTATATGAGGTCACTCCAGGTAAAGGAAACAAAGAGGGGAAAAAATCTGTCAGCAGCAAGAGAAAGGTTCTGTGCGAGGGGTAGGAGGCAGAGTCCTCACCACACCCCATCTCCCCATGAGCAGTATTTCATCACTGGAGATGATTACATAGAGATGGGAATGGAGATACAGCAGGATGCAATACAAAACACTTAAGCTTTGTATTTCAGTTGTGTGTATTACCCACGATGACGGCCAGGATACTCCAGTATGCAGCAGGCAGTGCAGGAGCCTGACCCGCGCTGCTGTTCACCATTCCTGTTGCAAGGCAACGGCAGAAAATATCTCATTTATGAGCAGAGAAGGGGAAAAAAAAAGGCTTGAGGAAATAGCAATGTGAAGCAGTTATTTCAGGGAGAAATTCGCCATGTTGGGCATCCCTCGAGCCACGGTGTGATACCCCCATCCTGGGCTGAACCCTGGGCTACGAGAGGTGGGGAAGGAAGGGGTCCTGGGCAGCAGTCCCAGCACCTCTGGCTGGATGGGGCTGGTGGGGCTGCACCTTTCCCTTATGGCCATGGACTGGCTGAAATATCTCTGTCAAGGGGGAAAGCAACCCGCAGGCGAGCAGGCGCACCAATGCCTGCCTGCTTCTGCTCTTCCCCAGTGTTTCGCATTGGCACGGGTTCCCTTGGCTTGACAAGTCTCTGCAAACATCTAGCCTGGCATTTTACATGTCTCTGTCGAGTCTGAGATACCATCTAAGACAGACAACACTGTTCCCTATCGCAGCCCTTTCAAGCGCTGGGGCTGCTGTGCCGCAACACGCCGAGGAACCTGCCGGTACCTGTTTGATTCCCAAGGGGCCCTGGTGATGGGCACGGGATCTCTGCATGGCTCCAGGCTGGCACAGGCTGCCTGGGAGCTCGGTGATGAAGCATCATGTGCTGGCACGGTGGCACAGCAAGATCCACGCATCGGAGCCGGGATGGAGCCACCAGCTCGCTTGTGGCACCGTGCCGGTTGGATGTAACATGGCAGGTAGTGGGTTATAGGTAAAGCCAGGGTATTATTTGCTATATATCTATATACACTCTATAACATATATATACTCTCTCTATATATACTCTATAAACACATCACCTAAGTTGAAGTTGCTCTGTGGAGAGCCACAAGCCATGACTCTAAGCCCAACAAGAATCTGGGTCGCTGTTCCACATCTGTGAATGATCCCAGGCACCAGAGCATCAGCCTGGAGTTACTCCCTTTCTTTCTCCCACCATTCCAGCCTCTGCTCTCTCTGCTGTTCTGGAAGGCACAATGATCATTAGAGTGGTCCCAGTGCCTTTCTGCACACACCTTCCAGAGCCACCCTGTGAGGAGGGAAAAGAGCAGGCAGAGAGCCGGCAGCTGCAGGCAGCACGAGGAAGGAAAGGGAGGGAGGTTTCCACAGGAATCATGACCCTGACCTGCCTGCAGGGCCGGGATCGTGCTGGCACCACCACTGTTCCCATTCACCTCGAGTGGAAAGAACCGGCTCCCATCCCATCCCCGGCACTTTCCATCCGCTGCATCTCCAGCTTAACCCTGGTGAGAAACTGATCCCTAAACACACACTGGAGCACCACCAGCACCCCAGTGAGGTTTCTGCATCAGCCCACGTGCAGTGTAGCTGTTATACCACTACATGGAGATATATAGATCTCTCCCCTCCCTCACACACACGCTCTCACACTCCATTTAGATGTAATTACATCAGGAATCCGTTTGCCAAGCGTCATTCAGAATACCTCGGAGCTTATTGAACTGACAATTGCACTGGATGGGGATGAAGCGATTAATCGTTTATGAAACACTAAACAATGGGGCCTGGGGGTGAAGTGCTTTTTCCATTTGTGCTCCATTTATCTCCTTCTGTATCGTATCAAGTTTGTGCGATTACACTCCATTCATAAAACTGCCATCTTTTTGGCTGCAAAAACGCTCTCAGTATTGATTGTGGACAACCAAATAGGAAACCCCAAGGAACGCTCCACCACAACACTCCCTGTGTACTGTACAAGTGACACCAACGTTGTCCCCAGGGAAGGATAAGCCAAGACCCAGATACTGATCTTGGCTACAATGAATAAATCCAGCGATATCAATGGGCTAAGTCATGTTTGAGACCATCATCGGGACTGTGGATGCTACCTGCTGACCAAGAGAGAGGTATTTTCACCTGGTACACCTGGTACACCAAGCTCTTGTATGAAAAGCTGCGTTCAAAACACTGACACAGGAGTAAAAGGCTCCATGTCCCATCACCCCTTCCAGGGGACCACCCATACCCTCTCCCCATTAGCACTTCAGCGTGTTAATGATGACCTCCTTTATCCCAAAGGAGCTGGGATCGTTGGCTGGCACCAGGTCTGGGAGAACCACCAAGCCCATCCCTTTACACAACGCCGCCCTCCGTTATAATTACTCCTGTAATACCACAATTTATGTGGCATGAAGGAGCAATATTCTTCTGCTAAATGAATCCTCAGCTGCTCCTTCTCACAGAGCGAGCCGACTCGCTGCACAGGGAGAAAAAAAACAGCTGAAGAGGCACCTTTCACAAAAGGGAGACCTATTCCTGACTAAAGTGTGTGCCACTAAAATCAATTTACTGACACAATAAATCCTTTTATGCTGGGGAGGATACCTGGAGATGAAACAGCTCATGAACAAACAGTCATCAGGACCGCAGGCTGGTTTATCAAGCTATAAGCCTTGGAGTCTACTTTTCAGTATATAGAAACAAGCAAAACTACTGGGTTTAAATACAGGAAAGCACTTGTTAGAAGATGCAGGCTTGTCTCTTAGTCTTTGAAACACTGAGAGTGAGAGGATGCCAGCTCCCTGACGGGGTGTTCAGACACAGCACAGGGACCACAGGCTCCTAAGATCTCCTTCCAGCTCACTCAGGGTCACTTCAAACCTGCTCGCTTCAGCTTCTGCCCCTGCAAAGAGAATCCTTCCCCCCTTGGAGACTGAGAGAATGAAAGCAGCCCAAACATAAAAGTCACTGGTTAGATGCTGAACTGAGTGTAGGCACTGCTGTGCAAAAGGATGCTTTGGGAGAAGCATGACTTGCCTCTGAATAAGGCACCCATGGGGACACCAGCTACCCCTGCCCTAGCCTGGGTGCTCCCTAGGGCATCCCAATAGGTCAGGGGATGACAGCTAACCACCCCAACACGACACGAGGCCATGTGGGACTCAGCCACCCCTAACCCATCACCTGCAGGCACGCAATGCTTGGGGGATGAGTGTACATGAACCTTTTACCCACGTTATTTATAACAGGCTCTTAACGTAGAGCGTGACCGACGAAGCAACCAGCGCCACGCAATCAGCGCGAGAGGTGCATCCGTGGCGAAACTTCCACATATTTTGTTACAAACAGCCTGCTAATGCACTTAAAAGATTTACAGAAACCAATTATCACCCTTTCTGCCACCCACCGACATCAATTATTGCTCAAATTTAAGATGATGATGACAGAGTATTTTAGAAGCCACTTTCTAAGCCGCTGTCTCTCTCCAGCGATGCTCGGCACTGACAGAGCTGTCCTGGAGCACTTGTGATGAAAGCCTCCTCGCTCCATCCAGCAGCAGAACTCTGAATATCATTGGGAACGACTGCAATTACTGCGAGGAATTTATGGAAATGGCAGAAACAATGACTTGACATAAAGGCTGTGCTGAAAAACATGGAGGCAAAACGTCTAAAGCGTCTCCCACTCATCTCCAACCCTGCTGATCTGTATGTTAACACATAGCCTTCATGCCATTAATATGTTAATCCATACATTAATTGGAACCAGATGAGCTTTAAAGGTCCCTTCCAACCTAAACCATTCTATGATTAACCTATACCCAACTTTCCTGCTTACCTGTTTCTATAAGGAGCTCATCAGAGAATGGTTTGGGTTGGAAGGGATCTTGAAGATCACCTGGCTCCAACCCCCCTGCTATGGGCAGTTAAATAAGAGATAAATAAGCTCAGCTTCCCCTTCCAGAGGCCTGTGGTGTTTTCATCTCTGCCTACGACGTTAAGGAAATGCCAGCTGAAAGTATTTATGGATTTCCTTACAGATAAGCCTAAAAGCAAACATTCCACAAAATTGGCCTGGATTATTTGCGCCTGGATTATTCTTCTTCTTCCTCCATTAAACTGGGGTACACAGCCCTATGTTAACAGCAACAACCCACCAGCAAGCACAAGCGTGGCACCTGCCTACAGGCAGCTCAGG